CGACCCAATATCCACTCCGCTACTCGACCAATCGGATGGCACGGAAAAAACATTGTACGAAAAAAAATAGGATTCTTCGCCTCTGTTCCCACGTGTGCCGTTGGACGGGAGGTTGGTGGGCGGCCAGGTTTCGATGACGCCGATGTCGTTGGCGATATCTGCGGGGCCGTGGCTCATGGGGGGGGGTGTTCCCCGCCTCTGACAGGGCAGGATTTTGGCGCAGCCAAGGAGCCCGAGCCACCACCGACAGCAATAAAATCAGAAGTTCAACTTCACTGCCCGCTCGCCCCACCGCCAGATCCTTCCTCTCCTTCGCTCGGCGTCTGGCAAGCGCCTGACGCCGGAGCCGCGTGCCGCGTCCTCGCGATCCGTCTGCTGGCGTGAGCCGCCGTGCGACGGACGGACCGCACCTCGCCGCGTTCGCCATCGCGCCGCTCGGTCGTTCTCCGTTCGTTGTCGTTGCGCTTGTCGAGCCTGGAAAGCCTGAGCCTCAAGACGTTTTTGCACGAGGGTCCTGCCACGTTTGTTTCAATAGGGGGTGGCGATTATAGCTTCCTAAATTCCAATTGAGTGATTAGCGGTGTAATTTATCGCAAGGGCCTACTCCTGCCCATGACATCACAGGATCTTTAACCCCCACTGTGAGTGAAGCAGAGAGGCGCAGATTATTGTCTTGCGCTGATTAGCCGCAGGATAAACCAGGGGCGGACGCGGGATTCGAGCCGTGGAACTTCTGCGACGAGCGGCGAGCGCGCTACCGCCGGGCCGCGTCGCCGCTCAAACGACGGCGGTCTCAGCGGCCCTAGCAGCTCGCGCGTCATCCGATCGCAGCTCGAGACTCGCGGTGAGTCTCGCCGTGACGGAGACTCACCGCGAGCCTCAACGCCTCGGCTTCGCTCTCGCCCATTAAGGGGGCTGGGAGGTTTAATTCGCCGTTAGGAATTTGTGATGTTTATTTTTTTATATCCATTTTTTTTTGCAACTTCCTCGCCAAATTCCTGCGCGCGCGTCCCCGGGGCACGGCCCTCGCCTCCTCCTCGCCTCCTCCTCCTCCTCCTCGCCTCCTCCTCCTCCTCGCCTCCTCCTCCTCCTCCTCGCCCTCCCCTCCTCTTGGCAGTGGCGGCGGCGGTGGTGGCGGTGGCGGCGGCTTGCGGGGTTTTCGAGGGATTCTTATTTTAGCGATTAAATTAAAACCAGCGGCAGCCGCGCTCCCATCCGAAACCTCCGCTCTCCTCGACAGCTCCACTCTTTGTTTATCCGTCGTGTTTGTAGAAGCTGGGGGGGGGGGGGCGAGGGGGGTGGGGCGAACAGGGAGGGGTGGTGGCTAAGGGTGGGTAGCAGCAGCAGGTGCTGAGTGGCACTGCGGGTTGTGGTGAGGGTGATGTGTCGAGTGTTGCAGTCTGACTGTTGCCGTGAGTATAGGCCCCCAATGGAGGGGATGCTAGAGGCCATCGTGACTGCTGCCCCAGGGCCCCGCTCGCTGTGGGCTCCCGTGCGAGTGCTCCGCAGGGCCCCAGTGAGAGCCCACGGGGGCCCACGGGGGCCCACACTGCGCCTTTCATTCACTCGGAGAACAAACGGGGACTGTGCCGCCAGGTCCCCACCCCTCCCCCAGCCCCCCATTGACACAGGAAGCTGTCGGAGTGGCGGGAGGGGGGGGCACACGGAGTGAACGCGGGGTCACGGTCGAGGCCGCGGAGGGGGAGCGGCCACTGCAGACAGCTCCCTGAGCCTCACCGCGACCCCTACCCCTTGACGCTGAGCACACCTCGGACCCTAACCCCGAACCCCATCTCACACCGCGACCGCGACGCTCACCTCTCCGAAGCCCAAGCCAGGCTGCGTCGTGAGCACAACATTTCTCGGCAGACAATTCGCCTCCTTCCCCTGACCCGTCCCTCCACGTGAACGACACGAGCCTTTCTGACACCCCCGTCAGCCGCACGGCCCTCCTCCTCCTGGGCGAGCGTAATCCCAGCCTTCCTCCTCCTGGGCGAGCGTAATCCCAGCCCTCCTCCTCCTGGGCGAGCGTAATCCCAGCCCTCCTCCTCCTGGGCGAGCGTAATCCCAGCCCTCCTCCTCCTGGGCGAGCGTAATCCCAGCCCTCCTCCTCCTGGGCGAGCGTAATCCCAGCCCTCCTCCTCCTGGACGAGCGTAATCCCAGCCCTCCTCCTCCTGGGCGAGCGTAATCCCAGCCTTCCTCCTCCTGGGCGAGCGTAATCCCAGCCCTCCTCCTCCTGGGCGAGCGTAATCCCAGCCCTCCTCCTCCTGGGCGAGCGTAATCCCAGCCCTCCTCCTCCTGGGCGAGCGTAATCCCAGCCCTCCTCCTCCTGGACGAGCGTAATCCCAGCCCTCCTCCTCCTGGGCGAGCGTAATCCCAGCCCTCCTCCTCCTGGGCGAGCGTAATCCCAGCCCTCCTCCTCCTGGGCGAGCGTAATCCCAGCCCTCCTCCTCCTGGGCGAGCGTAATCCCAGCCTTCCTCCTCCTGGACGAGCGTAATCCCAGCCTTCCTCCTCCTGGACGAGCGTAATCCCAGCCCTCCTCCTCCTGGACGAGCGTAATCCCAGCCCTCCTCCTCCTGGGCGAGCGTAATCCCAGCCCTCCTCCTCCTGGACGAGCGTAATCCCAGCCCTCCTCCTCCTGGACGAGCGTAATCCCAGCCCTCCTCCTCCTGGGCGAGCGTAATCCCAGCCCTCCTCCTCCTGGGCGAGCGTAATCCCAGCCCTCCTCCTCCTGGGCGAGCGTAATCCCAGCCCTCCTCCTCCTGGGCGAGCGTAATCCCAGCCTTCCTCCTCCTGGACGAGCGTAATCCCAGCCTTCCTCCTCCTGGACGAGCGTAATCCCAGCCTTCCTCCTCCTGGACGAGCGTAATCCCAGCCCTCCTCCTCCTGGACGAGCGTAATCCCAGCCCTCCTCCTCCTGGACGAGCGTAATCCCAGCAGCGCTGACTGCAACGCGAGCACCGCGCCCTCGACCGCTCTCGGCGGTGGCGGCGGTGGCGGCAACGTGGCCCCGTTGGCAGGGCGCCCGCCACTCGTTGCAGACGTTCACGCTTCAAATCCAGCGGCCGCCCTGGTAAACACTGCGGTTGTAATCTAGATTTGAAGTTTTTTTGACTGCAGGGATCCATACTCTTTGGTTCTTTCGGTAAAGTCACGTAGGTATAAAATAAAATAAATTAAATCACGACGTTTCGGGCGCAACACAAGCATCCGTCATCAGGTGGGACAACCACAGCAAGAAACAATTGCTGAAGTGGGCAAAAGCAAAAGGGCTGCTGTGGTTGTATTAGCTGTAATTACTCCTCCGCGCCGTCCGCCTCACAGTGGACGTCATTGGCAACAGTCGGCCACTGCGTGCCGGGGTCACAGACATTTGCCATATCTAGAAAAATTGCCCCGCAATTATCACACATATAGTAGCAATCACCTCCCCTTCACCCCGCCTGCCCTCCTGAGAAAACCTGGCAGAGTCTTGAGGCTCGGTGAGGCGTCCCTCGGTAAACAAGGAGAAAAGAGCACTCGTCCAGTGTCTTATCAGCACAGTCAATCAGGCTGAACCAGCGCCGCAGGTGCCCCGTATCTAACACAGCGAGGAGCATCCATCGGACCATTCCGAGCGAACGAATGCGGGGACACAGAGCCGTCCTTACGGTACGGCGAGTCGGAGCGACCGCCCTGGGCCCCACGTTTTTGGGGGGCCCCGCGCATCGATGCCACGGTGTCAGATGTAATAGTTCTGGTTTAGTTTGAAGGCGTCGGGGGGGGGGGGGGCCCACGCCAGTACAACAACAGCAGCAACGGCGGTCGTGGAAATCGCACGGGTCACGCGGTGCACGCGCACGGGGGAGACCTCTTGACAGCAGACGGCAGCTGCTGAGAAGAGATTGGGGGCCAGGGCTTGGCGAGGGAGAGCGGCGCGAGGAGCTGCCTGCCGGCTGGATGAACGGAGGTTCCCGGCGGGGGAGCGTGGCATTAGGATCGACATTAGAAGTGGACACGCAGCTGGACGACCTGGACAGTTTCAAAATGTGGTCGTGGCTACGGAGGCATCGTAGAAGACGCCCGGATTTGTTTGCTCTGCCAAAGCCGCCTTTAACGCTAAACAATGCAGCTGCTGCTGCACGCAGCACAAAGTGGGCCCAAGTTGGACTCCAGCTGCTGCTGCTGTTGCATCTGGGGTGGAGTGCCCAGCTCCGACCTCACTGCTGCAGCCAACTGAGTTCAGCGTGAAGCAGCAGGCAGCGAGATCGATGATCACCGCACTCATTGACTCACTCGGCTCGCTCGCCCACCGGCGGTCAGTCACCTACCTATCACTCTTGTGTCACTGCTACCGTGGTCGCTGTTCCCGTCAACTTCCCTCGGTGATTCCTCCTCCCATGTTGAGGACTCGGTCAACCAGTCGCTGTGCCATCTCATCCACACTGTGTTCAACCACCTCCACCACCAACACTGCAGGTCACAACAACACACCCCTCATCCACTCAATCACCTTTTCACGCATGCACTCAAAGACAGAGACCCCCCCCCCCCACCGTATTGCCTTAACAGACTGCTGGGGCAAGTCTTGTTAGTGAGCACTTATGAAGGCCGGCACAGCACACGAGGGGGTGGGTGGCCAGCACCACGCCCGGCCGCCTTTGTCTCCCCAGTGGCGATATTTACACACCGCACCAGGTACTCATTTGAGGCTGAGTCGACCTAGGGGAGGCCCAGGACCAGTTCAAATAATCGTCACTTGTTTTGGCCGTGAGTGGAAATCGAACTCGGGTCGCCGGGTTCGTAGCGCAGCGTAGCGCTAACCGCTACACTACCGCTCCCGACTCACTCACTCATACGCATTTACTCACTCACCCAGTCACCCACTCCAATACTGACTCGCTCATTCACTCACTCACCCATTGAACCACTCCTGCGCTCATCGACTCACACACATTCACTCGCTCATGCTGTCACCCACTCTCATACTGGCCCACCCACTCACCCACCCACTCGCCCACTCACCCACCCACCCACTCACCCACCCACTCACCCCACTGCCGGTCACTTCTCTCTCTACTTCTTCCCTCGCACTGGAATTCCCTCCTCCCATCGTCTCTTCTCTTTTATCCCCAAACCACTTACCTCGCTCAATCAATAACCTTGCTCAATCAATAGCTTCACTCAATTCCGCAAACGCGTTACAATCTTATGATCTCTTCCAACGTTTATAATACTTTTTGTTGCTGTTTCTTGGAGTTCTGGGTCTGCGTTTAATAATGGTGTTGAATTCAAGTGGGAGCATCAGGACGAGATGTTGTTGACAAGAACGTGTACAATAGCTACACAAACATTTACAGAGATCCCACCAACTGCCTCGTTACAAAAACGAACAGTATCATCACTGATTCAGCTTCATTAATTGAACAGACCAAACGGTTTTCCTTAAAACCCTCTGCTGCTAGACCACCCAGACAATATGGCTTACCAAAAATCCATAAAGAAGGTACACCCCTTCGTCCCATCGTCTCCACCATTGGCTCACCCACATACAAACTAGCCCGGTTTCTGTCTGAGACTTTGCAACCATTCACTGGTAAGACCACCTCATCTGTACTTAACTCAGCTCACCTGGTATCGTCAATTAAAGACATCTCACTGTCCCCAGGTGATGTGCTCGTTAGTTGCGATGTCGTTTTTTTGTTCACCAAAGTTCCTGTGCCCAATTCCATTGCAATAATTGAAGATTTGGTCCAACAAGGACTGAATGCTGATGAACCAGCCCTGGTTCGACACTGCCTCACCAATACATACTTCACCTGGGGTGGAACATTCTACAAACAAACTGAAGGCACCCCAATGGGTTCTCCCTTATCTCCGGTTGTGGCCAACATTTAAAAGGAAAAATTTGAGACGGACGCCATCTAAGCATTCACTCTATGCCCATCCTTGTGGAAGAGATACGTGGATGACACGTTCGCCATCTGGCCACATGGCCTACCGGCTCTGAAACAATTCCTCAACCACATCAATTCCATATACCCAGAAATCAAACTCACCATGGAGGTAGAAAAGAATGGCATGCTGCCCTTCTTGGATGTCTTCATCAAAAAGAGACCAGATGGCTCATTGAGCAAAGTGACCCACACTGACGCCGACCTAAAACCTGATTCCCACCACCATCCATCCCAGAAGAATTCCCTCATCAAAACGCTACACCATAGAGCTCAATGTATCTCCGACCATGAACACCTAACCAGTGAATTCAAACACGTACACCAAGCTCTCAAGGCAAATGGATATTCTGACTACACAATCCGCAAAGCCATCACCCCAACCGTGAGGAAGGAGCCATATGAAAATCCAATCAAAACCATCACCCTGCCATACATAGCAGGGGTAACCAAAAAGATTTCCAAAATCTTGAACAAACACAAAATCCAGGTCCGATTTAACACAGTGCATAAAATTCGTGACCTGATCCCATCTGTGAAAGATTCCTGACATGCAATACCCCGGCGTCTACAAACTAAGCTGTACCTGCGGCAGCAGTTACATTGGGGAAACTAAGCGACATGTCTCGGACCGTGTTCGTGAACATAAGGCAGATCTGAAACATGGCAGGACCAATACTTCTGCCGTGGCTGATCATTAATTTAATGCGGCTGGCTCACGTGAAATTATTTCTCGAAGACGAAGGTACTTTGTAAGCCCACTGGCTATCAATGAAAAATCGTTCATGAAGCCATCCATATATACAGACACAGACACAATTTCAACCGAGACGACGATTTTAAACTCAGCAATCATTGGAAAGATGTCGTCAACCACTTTGGGTCATGATTTGTCAACCTCTACCGTCAGCAGTGTGGATGGGTGTAGCGAGGTGCAATCCCCCCTCCATCTCTACCCCTCTCTCCTCCTATCTCTTACCCCCCCCTCTCTCTCCCCCCTATCTTAAACCCCCCGCCATCAGCTCCACCTCCACCTCGCGCTTTACTCCGACATTGGCACTGGCTGCCCCGCCCGTGCTGTTGACGCCGCACCGCTTCCCATGCTGCTGCCACGCCAGGTCCTCCACAACTCTGAAATCCCTCATCATAACAAGCAGTTGCGTTTGGAGGCTTGCCCCTTCTTTTCTCTCCGCCTGATGGAGACCGCTTGTGTTGCGATCTAAACGTCGTGGGTTTTTTGCTTTTATGTTTATTTTTATTTTCTACGTGACTTTACCGAAGGAACCAAAGAATATGACTTTGAAACCTTTGCCGTGACCTTGACCTTGACCAAGTTGTTTTGTGACCCAGTCGTGACCCAGTGGTGACCCAGTGGTGACCCAGTCGTGACCCAGTGGTGACCCAGTCGTGACCCAGTGGTTCTGCGTGCGCGTCGCTGTCCCCTGTCTCGGCCGCGAACAGAGGGGGGCCAGGGAGGGGGTCCCGGCGGAGGGGGCTGGCCCCAGTGGCAGCACGGGGGCCAGGGGGGAGAAGGGCACACGCACCCCCCCGCAGGGCAGCCCGAGGTGTTCCAGGTACACACGTACACACACATGCATACACACACGCGCGCACACACACGTACACACACGCATACTCACACGCATATACACACACGTACACACACGCATACATATACGTACACACAAAGATAAAGATCCCCCGTGTAGCCTTTGAACAGACTGTTGTGGAAAGTGCTGTTAGCGAGCACCTATGAAGGCCGACACGGCACACGAGGGGGTGGGTGGTCAGCACCAGCCGCCTTTGTCTCCCTAGTGGCGATGTTCACACATCACACCAGGTACTAATTTGAGGCTGAGGCGACCAACACACCCCACACACATACATGCACTGCTGTTGCTGCTACTATTGTTGTGATCGGACAACACGAATAGTCTGAGAGTTGGACCTGAACCCGTCCCCCTGGTTCTACGCTGCCCCCCCCCCCTCCCCCCTCCCCGTTGCCCACCAGGAGATGCTGTCCATGCTGGGAGACCCCACGCAGGGTGCTGGGAACTACAACAACGAGGACTTTGGAGACCTGGGAATGTTCCCTCCCTTCTCCGAGTGACCTAATGACCTGGGTCACCTCTCCCCCCCCCCTCTGCGTGACCATGTGACCTGGGTTATACTCCTCCCCGCCATTGAGTTGTTCATTGTGAAAACGCCCCATTGAGTTGGTGACCTGAGCCAACGTGGTTCATTGCTGAGAGGTGGATTCGTGGAGCGGAGGGGTTCACGAGTTGATGGATCATTCATCGCTTGAGGAATGAATGCATTGATGGGTTCATAGGCAGAGAGGGGTTATGGGGTCACTGGCTTAGCGAGGTGAAGAGTTTCTAAGCAAGCGGATGATGATGCCAATGGATTGATGCGTTGGTGAGTGGTTTAGTTAATGGGTAGTCGGCGGGTCAATGAGTTGATGGATTAATGAATTGTGGGGTTAATTAGTGGGTTCAGTAATGAGTTGACGTGTTAAACGATTGAATTAATACGTCGATGGGTTAGCGAGGCCGTGTGTGATGAGTTGATGGGTTAGCAAGGCCGTGTGTGATGAGTTGATGGGTTAGCGAGGCCGTGTGTGATGAGTCTATGGGTTAGCAAGGCCGTGTGTAATGAGTCGGTGGGTTAACGAGGCCGTGTGTAATGAGTCGGTGGGTTAGCGAGGCCGTGTGTGATGAGTCTATGGGTTATCAAGGCCGTGTGTGATGAGTTGATGGGTTAGCGAGGCCGTGTGTGATGAGTTGATGGGTTAGCGAGGCCGTGTGTGATGAGTCTATGGGTTAGCAAGGCCGTGTGTAATGAGTCGGTGGGTTAACGAGGCCGTGTGTGATGAGTATGGGTTAGCAAGGCCGTGTGTGATGAGCCTATGGGATAGCAAGGCCGTGTGTAATGAGTCGGGTTAGCAAGGCCGTGTGTGATGAGTCTATGGGTTAGCAAGGCCGTGTGTAATGAGTCGGTGGGTTAGCGAGGCCGTGTGTGATGAGTCTATGGGTTAGCAAGGCCGTGTGTAATGAGTCGGTGGGTTAGCGAGGCCGTGTGTAATGAGTCGGTGGGTTAGCGAGGCCGTGTGTGATGAGTCTATGGGTTAGCAAGGCCGTCTGTAATGAGTCGGTGGGTTAGCGAGGCCGTGTGTGATGAGTCGATGGGTTAGCGAGGCCGTGTGTAATGAGTCGGTGGGTTAGCAAGGCCGTGTGTAATGAGTCGGTGGGTTAACGAGGCCGTGTGTAATGAGTCGATGGGTTAACGAGGCCGTGTGTAATGAGTCGATGGGTTAGCAAGGCCGTGTGTAATGAGTCGGTGGGTTAGCAAGGCCGTGTGTAATGAGTCGGTGGGTTAGCGAGGCCGTGTGTGATGAGTCTATGGGTTAGCAAGGCCGTGTGGAATGAGTCGATGGGTTAGCAAGGCCGTGTGTAATGAGTCGGTGGGTTAGCGAGGCCGTGTGTGATCAGTCGGTGGGTTAACGAGGCCGTGTGTAATGAGTCGATGGGTTAGCAAGGCCGTGTGTAATGAGTCGGTGGGTTAGCGAGGCCGTGTGTGATGAGCCTATGGGTTAGCGAGGCCGTGTGTAATGAGTCGATGAGTTAGCAAGGCCGTGTGTAATGAGTCGGTGGGTTAACGAGGCCGTGTGTAATGAGTCGATGGGTTAGCGAGGCCGTGTGTAATGAGTCGATGAGTTAGCGAGGCCGTGTGTAATGAGTCGGTGGGTTAACGAGGCCGTGTGTGATGAGTCGATGGGTTAACAAGGCCGTGTGTGATGAGTCGATGGGTTAACGAGGCCGTGTGTAATGAGTCGGTGGGTTAGCGAGGCCGTGTGTAATGAGTCGATGGGTTAGCGAGGCCGTGTGTGATGAGTTGATGGGTTAGCGAGGCCGTGTGTAATGAGTCGATGGGTTAGCGAGGCCGTGTGTAACGAGTCGATGGGTTAGCGAGGCCGTGTGTGATGAGTCGATGGGTTAACGAGGCCGTGTGTGATGAGTCGGTGGGTTAGCGAGGCCGTGTGTGATGAGTTGGTGGGTTAACGAGGCCGTGTGTGATGAGTCGGTGGGTTAGCGAGGCCGTGTGTAATGAGTCGGTGGGTTAGCGAGGCCGTGTGTAATGAGTCGGTGGGTTAGCGAGGCCGTGTGTGATGAGTCGATGGGTTAACGAGGCCGTGTGTGATGAGTCGATGGGTTAACGAGGCCGTATGTAATGAGTCGGTGGGTTAGCGAGGCCATGTGTGATGAGTCGGTGGGTTAGCGAGGCCGTGTGTGATGAGTCGATGGGTTAACGAGGCCGTATGTAATGAGTCGGTGGGTTAGCGAGGCCGTGTGCAATGAGTCGGTGGGTTAGCGAGGCCGTATGTAATGAGTCGGTGGGTTAGCGAGGCTGTGTGTGATGAGTTGATGGGTTAGCGAGGCCGTGTGTGATGAGTTGATGGGTTAGCGAGGCCGTGTGTGATGAGTCGGTGGGTTAGCGAGGCCGTATGTAACGAGTCGGTGGGTTAGCGAGGCCGTGTGTGATGAGTCGATGGGTTAGCGAGGCCGTGTGTGATGAGTCGGTGGGTTAGCGAGGCCGTGTGTAATGAGTCGATGGGTTAGCGAGGCCGTGTGTGATGAGTCGATGGGTTAGCAAGGCCGTGTGTGATGAGTCGGTGGGTTAGCGAGGCCGTGTGTGATGAGTCGGTGGGTTAGCGAGGCCGTGTGTGATGAGTTGATGGGTTAGCAAGGCCGTGTGTAACGAGTCGGTGGGTTAGCGAGGCCGTGTGTAACGAGTCGGTGGGTTAGCGAGGCCGTGTGTGATGAGTCGATGGGTTAGCGAGGCCGTGTGTAACGAGTCGGTGGGTTAGCGAGGCCGTGTGTAATGAGTCGATGGGTTAGCGAGGCCGTGTGTGATGAGTCGATGGGTTAGCGAGGCCGTGTGTGATGAGTCGGTGGGTTAGCGAGGCCGTGTGTGATGAGTCGATGGGTTAGCGAGGCCGTGTGTGATGAGTCGGTGGGTTAGCGAGGCCATGTGTAATGAGTCGGTGGGTTAGCGAGGCCGTGTGTAATGAGTCGGTGGGTTAGCGAGGCCGTGTGTGATGAGTCGGTAGGTTAGCGAGGCCGTGTGTAATGAGTTGATGGGTTAGCAAGGCCGTGTGTAATGAGTCGGTGGGTTAACGAGGCCGTGTGTAATGAGTCGGTAGGTTAGCGAGGCCGTGTGTAATGAGTTGATGGGTTAGCGAGGCCGTGTGTAATGAGTCGGTGGGTTAGCGAGGCCGTGTGTGATGATTAGATGGGTTAGCGAGGCCGTGTGTGATGAGTCGATGGGTTAGCGAGGCCGTGTGTGATGAGTCGGTGGGTTAGCGAGGCCGTGTGTGATGAGTCGATGGGTTAGCGAGGCCGTGTGTGATGAGTCGGTGGGTTAGCGAGGCTGTGTGTGATGAGTCGATGGGTTAGCGAGGCCGTGTGTAATGAGTCGATGGGTTAGCGAGGCTGTGTGTGATGAGTCGGTGGGTTAGCGAGGCCGTGTGTGATGAGTCGATGGGTTAGCGAGGCCGTGTGTAATGAGTTGATGGGTTAGCGAGGCCGTGTGTGATGAGTCGGTGGGTTAGCGAGGCCGTATGTAACGAGTCGGTGGGTTAGCGAGGCCGTGTGTGATGAGTCGATGGGTTAGCGAGGCCGTGTGTGATGAGTCGGTGGGTTAGCGAGGCCGTGTGTAATGAGTCTATGGGTTAGCAAGGCCGTGTGTGATGAGTCGGTGGGTTAGCGAGGCCGTGTGTGATGAGTCGGTGGGTTAGCGAGGCCGTGTGTGATGAGTTGATGGGTTAGCAAGGCCGTGTGTAACGAGTCGGTGGGTTAGCGAGGCCGTGTGTAACGAGTCGGTGGGTTAGCGAGGCCGTGTGTGATGAGTCGATGGGTTAGCGAGGCCGTGTGTAACGAGTCGGTGGGTTAGCGAGGCCGTGTGTAATGAGTCGATGGGTTAGCGAGGCCGTGTGTGATGAGTCGATGGGTTAGCGAGGCCGTGTGTGATGAGTCGATGGGTTAGCGAGGCCGTGTGTGATGAGTCGGTGGGTTAGCGAGGCCATGTGTAATGAGTCGGTGGGTTAGCGAGGCCGTGTGTAATGAGTCGGTAGGTTAGCGAGGCCGTGTGTGATGAGTCGGTAGGTTAGCGAGGCCGTGTGTAATGAGTTGATGGGTTAGCAAGGCCGTGTGTAATGAGTCGGTGGGTTAACGAGGCCGTGTGTAATGAGTCGGTAGGTTAGCGAGGCCGTGTGTAATGAGTTGATGGGTTAGCGAGGCCGTGTGTAATGAGTCGGTGGGTTAGCGAGGCCGTGTGTGATGATTAGATGGGTTAGCGAGGCCGTGTGTGATGAGTCAATGGGTTAGCGAGGCCGTGTGTGATGAGTCGGTGGGTTAGCGAGGCCGTGTGTGATGAGTCGATGGGTTAGCGAGGCCGTGTGTGATGAGTCGGTGGGTTAGCGAGGCCGTGTGTAATGAGTCGATGGGTTAGCGAGGCTGTGTGTGATGAGTCGGTGGGTTAGCGAGGCCGTGTGTGATGAGTTGATGGGTTAGCGAGGCCGTGTGTAATGAGTCGGTGGATTAGCGAGGCCGTGTGTAATGAGTCGATGGGTTAGCGAGGCCGTGTGTGATGAGTCGGTGGGTTAACGAGGCCGTGTGTGATGAGTTGATGGGTTAGCGAGGCCGTGTGTGATGAGTCGGTGGGTTAGCGAGGCCGTGTGTGATGAGTCGGTGGGTTAGCGAGGCCGTGTGTGATGAGTCGATGGGTTAGCGAGGCCGTGTGTGATGAGTCGATGGGTTAACGAGGCCGTGTGTAATGAGTTGATGGGTTAGCGAGGCCGTGTGTGATGAGTCGGTGGGTTAGCGAGGCCGTGTGTGATGAGTTGATGGGTTAGCGAGGCCGTGTGTGATGAGTCGATGGGTTAATGAGGCCGTGTGTAATGAGTCGGTGGGTTAGCGAGGCCGTGTGTGATGAGTTGATGGGTTAGCGAGGCCGTGTGTGATGAGTTGATGGGTTAACGAGGCCGTGTGTGATGAGTTAATGGGTTATCGAGGCCGTGTGTGATGAGTTGATGGGTTAGCGAGGCCGTGTGTGATGAGTTGATGGGTTAACGAGGCCGTGTGTGATGAGTTGATGGGTTAGCGAGGCCGTGTGTGATGAGTTGATGGGTTAACGAGGCCGTGTGTAATGAGTCGGTGGGTTAGCGAGGCCGTGTGTGATGAGTTGATGGGTTAGCGAGGCCGTGTGTGATGAGTTGATGGGTTAACGAGGCCGTGTGTGATGAGTTAATGGGTTATCGAGGCCGTGTGTGATGAGTTGATGGGTTAGCGAGGCCGTGTGTGATGAGTTGATGGGTTAACGAGGCCGTGTGTGATGAGTTGATGGGTTAGCGAGGCCGTGTGTGATGAGTTGATGGGTTAACGAGGCCGTGTGTGATGAGTTGATGGGTTAACGAGGCCGTGTGTGATGAGTCGGTGGGTTAGCGAGGCCGTGTGTGATGAGTCGGTGGGTTAACGAGGCCGTGTGTGATGAGTCGGTGGGTTAGCCCGTTAATGAGGATGCAGTTTAAAATATCAGTGGGTCAAGGTAGGCGCTGCATATTGGGTTGGTGAGTTAGCTAACGATAAGTTAACGGGTTAGAGGGTTAACGAGTTGAAGGGTTAACGAGTTAGAGGGTTAACGTGTTGAAGGGTTAACGAGTTAGAGGGTTACCGAGCCGGTGAGTGAACGGGACTGGTGAGTGAACGAGCTGGCGGGTAAATTAATGAAGCTATTAACTTTGTCTCCGTTCCGCACCACCCCCCCCCCCCCATTCGTGCTGTGGTGGAGGGAGGGGGGGGGTAGCGGGTGGGGGCCGCGTGCCAAACGTCGTCTCTCTGTGCGTCTCGTGACCGTGATTAACTCCGCTGCGCAGTCGTCATAATTATTGTTGTTGATGTTATTGATGATGTTGTTGTTATTGACGTTGTTGCTGTAATGATCGTCGTCGTTGTTAAAGTCGCCACGCGTTGGTTGTGTAAGTGCGCGCTGCGTGGCCATCGCCGCCGCAACAACAAGAAGAATCACCACGAGGAGCTGCTCGCCACCGATCGCCGCTGGTCGCGAACGTCGCCGATGTATCCGGGAAAGCGGCAGCCGAGTCCAGCGACTCGCTGTGCGGGAGGAGGGTCCTCGCCGCTGCGTTGAGGTTTGTTTTTAATCCTCAAGATGTTCTCAGCCAATTCATGATGAGTCGCGTTTGTTTGTTATTCACGTTGGGGGGAGGGGGGTGGAAGCGGAGCAGCCGGAGAAAACCCACGCCTTGGTCGAGGGGGCAACGCTCTATCCCCGTACAGATGGAAACGGATGGAGGTTCGTCCGCAATTTTCTGTACCGCGTTCTCGTAGCAAACCAGGGCATGGCACCTCCTCGGCGCCCAATGGGAAGGGAGTTTCACACCATCCCTGTGCGATCCTCCAATCCTCCTTGCTGCTGCCTCCGCAGCGCTGGATGACAGCAGTCGTCACGTGCCGCACAGCAGTCAGTCACGTGCCGCGCAGTCAGTCACGTGCCGCACAGCCACCACCGCTGTCCGGGAAAACGAACAGCAGTCCTGCCTCTAACCCACTCATCACCCAGCCACGACTACTAACCCTAACTCGCCAGCCAATCAGACACTAATACAACCCTAACTATCCAGCCAATCAGACACTAATACAACCCTAACTCGTGGGCAAACTTGACCCGGTCGCTTGCTTGTCCACTCACCCACCAAGCCAGCCAGACAATGCTGCTCGTATCCCTGCCCAGGGTTCACATTCCTCACGCAAGACTCTCCGGCTCGAGTCGACTTGCCTCGAGGGGGTGGCACGCGGCAAGCAGTCGTCGTGGTCGCCTCAGCCGTAGCGAGAAGGATACTCGACGTGGTGTGCCGGATGCGGAAATATTCCCCCCACCCCTCCCCACCCTCCGGTGTTGGCGCGCGGTGGCCGCGTGGCGCGCGCGTGGTGCAGGTGTGGTCACGTGGTGGCGTCTTGAGTAAAAGGTGCGCGCGCGCCCACGTGGTGGCGGATAACCGCGTGCGCTGCGAGTGGGTGGGTGGGTGGCGTGCGTGGGGTGAGCATTGCGAGTGAATGGGGGGGGAGGGGGTGCGTTGTGAGTGAGCGTGCATTGACAAGGAGCGTGCGTTGTCAGTGAGTGCGCATTGTGAGTTTGTTAGTGAGTGGGGTTGTGCATTGTGGGTGAGTGAGCGTGCGTGCGTGTGCATTATCCGTGAATGTGCCCCTCTGGTTTGCACGGTTGGCTCCGTACGGTGCGAAATAAGTTCAACACACATTGCATACATTGTGAGTATGTGAGTGTGCAGTGTGTGAATATGCATTGTGAGTTTGTTAGTGAGTGGGGTGTGAATTGTGAGTGAGTGTGCATTGTGAGTTTGTTACTGAGTGGGGTTTGAATTGTGAGTGAGTATGCATTGTAAGTGGGGTGTGCGTTGCCAGTTTGTGAGTGAGTTGGGTGTGGGATGTGTGTGCATCGTGAGTTAGTGTGCATTGTGAGTTAGTGTGCATTGTGAGGCAGTGAGCGAGTGGTGTGTGCATTGTGAGGGTGTGAGCGAGTGGTGTGTATATTGTGAGTGTGGTGTGTGCATTGTGAGTGTGTGAGCGAGTGGTGTGTGTATTATGAGTGAATGCTGTGTACATTGTGAGTGTGTGAGCGAGTGGTGTGTGTATTATGAGTGAATGCTGTGTGCATTGTGAGTGTGTGAGCGAGTTGTGTGTATATTGTGAGTGTGGTGTGTGCATTGTGAGTGTGTGAGCGAGTGGTGTGTGCATTGTGAGTGTGTGAGCGAGTGGTGTGTTTATTGTGAGTGTGGTGTGTGCATTGTGAGTGTGTGAGCGAGTGGTGTGTGCAGTGTGAGTAAGTGGTGTGTGTATTATGAGTGAATGCTGTGTGCATTGTGAGTGTGTGAGCGAGTGGTGTGTTTATTGTGAGTGTGGTGTGTGCATTGTGAGTGTGTGAGCGAGTAGTGTGTGCATTGTGAGTGTGGTGTGTGCATTGTGAGTGTGTCAGCGAGTGGGGTGTGCATTGTGAGTGCGATGTGTGCATTGTGAGTGTGTGAGCGAGTGGTGTGTGCATTGTGAGTGTGTGAGCGAGTGGTGTGTGCATTGTGAGTGTGGTGTGTGCATTGTGAGTGTGTGAGCGAGTGGTGTGTGCATTGTGAGTGTGGTGTGTGCATTGTGAGTGTGTGAGCGAGTGGTGTGTTTATTGTGAGTGTGGTGTGTGCATTGTGAGTGTGTGAGCGAGTAGGGTGTGCATTGTGAGTGTGGTGTGTGCATTGTGAGTGTGTGAGCGAGTGGGGTGTGCATTGTGAGTGCGATGTGTGCATTGTGAGTGTGTGAGCGAGTGGTGTGTGCATTGTGAGTGAGTGAGCGAGTGGTGTGTGCATTGTGAGTGTGGTGTGTGCATTGTGAGTGTGTGAGCGAGTGGTGTGTGCATTGTGAGTGTGGTGTGTGCATTGTGAGTGTGTGAGCGAGTGGGGTGTGCATTGTGAGTGTGTGATCGAGTGGTGTGTGCATTGTGAGTGTGTGAGCGAGTGGTGTGTGCATTGTGAGTGTGTGAGCGAGTGGTGTGTGCATTGTGAGTGTGGTGTGTGCATTGTGAGTGTGTGAGCGAGTGGTGTGTGCATTGTGAGTGTGGTGTGTGCATTGTGAGTGTGTGAGCGAGTGGTGTGTGCATTGTGAGTGTGTGAGCGAGTGGGGTGTGCATTGTGAGTGTGTGATCGAGTGGTGTGTGCATTGTGAGTGTGTGAGCGAGTGGTGTGTGCATTGTGAGTGTGTGAGCGAGTGGTGTGTGCATTGTGAGTGTGGTGTGTGCATTGTGAGTGTGTGAGCGAGTGGGGTGTGCATTGTGAGTGTGGTGTGTGCATTGTGAGTGTGTGAGCGAGTGGTGTGTTTATTGTGAGTGTGGTGTGTGCATTGTGAGTGTGTGAGCGAGTAGTGTGTGCATTGTGAGTGTGGTGTGTGCATTGTGAGTGTGTGAGCGAGTGGGGTGTGCATTGTGAGTGCGATGTGTGCATTGTGAGTGTGTGAGCGAGTGGTGTGTGCATTGTGAGTGTGTGAGCGAGTGGTGTGTTTATTGTGAGTGTGGTGTGTGCATTGTGAGTGTGTGAGCGAGTGGTGTGTGCAGTGTGAGTAAGTGGTGTGTGTATTATGAGTGAATGCTGTGTGCATTGTGAGTGTGTGAGCGAGTGGTGTGTTTATTGTGAGTGTGGTGTGTGCATTGTGAGTGTGTGAGCGAGTAGTGTGTGCATTGTGAGTGTGGTGTGTGCATTGTGAGTGTGTCAGCGAGTGGGGTGTGCATTGTGAGTGCGATGTGTGCATTGTGAGTGTGTGAGCGAGTGGTGTGTGCATTGTGAGTGTGTGAGCGAGTGGTGTGTGCATTGTGAGTGTGGTGTGTGCATTGTGAGTGTGTGAGCGAGTGGTGTGTGCATTGTGAGTGTGGTGTGTGCATTGTGAGTGTGTGAGCGAGTGGTGTGTTTATTGTGAGTGTGGTGTGTGCATTGTGAGTGTGTGAGCGAGTAGGGTGTGCATTGTGAGTGTGGTGTGTGCATTGTGAGTGTGTGAGCGAGTGGGGTGTGCATTGTGAGTGCGATGTGTGCATTGTGAGTGTGTGAGCGAGTGGTGTGTGCATTGTGAGTGAGTGAGCGAGTGGTGTGTGCATTGTGAGTGTGGTGTGTGCATTGTGAGTGTGTGAGCGAGTGGTGTGTGCATTGTGAGTGTGGTGTGTGCATTGTGAGTGTGTGAGCGAGTGGGGTGTGCATTGTGAGTGTGTGATCGAGTGGTGTGTGCATTGTGAGTGTGTGAGCGAGTGGTGTGTGCATTGTGAGTGTGTGAGCGAGTGGTGTGTGCATTGTGAGTGTGGTGTGTGCATTGTGAGTGTGTGAGCGAGTGGTGTGTGCATTGTGAGTGTGGTGTGTGCATTGTGAGTGTGTGAGCGAGTGGTGTGTGCATTGTGAGTGTGTGAGCGAGTGGGGTGTGCATTGTGAGTGTGTGATCGAGTGGTGTGTGCATTGTGAGTGTGTGAGCGAGTGGTGTGTGCATTGTGAGTGTGTGAGCGAGTGGTGTGTGCATTGTGAGTGTGGTGTGTGCATTGTGAGTGTGTGAGCGAGTGGGGTGTGCATTGTGAGTGTGGTGTGTGCATTGTGAGTGTGTGAGCGAGTGGTGTGTTTATTGTGAGTGTGGTGTGTGCATTGTGAGTGTGTGAGCGAGTAGTGTGTGCATTGTGAGTGTGGTGTGTGCATTGTGAGTGTGTGAGCGAGTGGGGTGTGCATTGTGAGTGCGATGTGTGCATTGTGAGTGTGTGAGCGAGTGGTGTGTGCATTGTGAGTGTGTGAGCGAGTGGTGTGTGCATTGTGAGTGTGGTGTGTGCATTGTGAGTGTGTGAGCGAGTGGTGTGTGCATTGTGAGTGTGGTGTGTGCATTGTGAGTGTGTGAGCGAGTGGGGTGTGCATTGTGAGTGTGTGATCGAGTGGTGTGTGCATTGTGAGTGTGTGAGCGAGTGGTGTGTGCATTGTGAGTGTGTGAGCGAGTGGTGTGTGCATTGTGAGTGTGGTGTGTGCATTGTGAGTGTGTGAGCGAGTGGTGTGTGCATTGTGAGTGTGGTGTGTGCATTGTGAGTGTGTGAGCGAGTGGTGTGTGCATTGTGAGTGTGTGAGCGAGTGGTGTGTGCATTGTGAGTGTGTGAGCGAGTGGTGTGTGCATTGTGAGTGTGTGAGCGAGTGGGGTGTGCATTGTGAGTGTGTGAGCGAGTGGTGTGTGCATTGTGAGTGTGTGAGCGAGTGGTGTGTGCATTGTGAGTGTGTGAGCGAGTGGTGTGTGCATTGTGAGTGTGTGAGCGAGTGGTGTGTGCATTGTGAGTGTGTGATCGAGTGGTGTGTGCATTGTGAGTGTGTGATCGAGTGGTGTGTGCATTGTGAGTGTGTGATCGAGTGGTGTGTGCATTGTGAGTGTGTGATCGAGTGGTGTGTGCATTGTGAGTGTGTGATCGAGTGGTGTGTGCATTGTGAGTGTGGTGTGTGCATTGTGAGTGTGTGAGCGAGTGGTGTGTGCATTGTGAGTGTGTGAGCGAGTGGTGTGTGCATTGTGAGTGTGTGAGCGAGTGGGGTGTGCATTGTGAGTGTGTGAGCGAGTGGGGTGTGCATTGTGAGTGTGTGAGCGAGTGGGTGTGCATTGTGAGTGTGGTGTGTGCATTGTGAGTGTGTGAGCGAGTGGTGTGTGCATTGTGAGTGTGTGAGCGAGTGGTGTGTGCATTGTGAGTGTGTGAGCGAGTGGTGTGTGCATTGTGAGTGTGTGAGCGAGTGGTGTGTGCATTGTGAGTGTGGTGTGTGCATTGTGAGTGTGTGAGCGAGTGGTGTGTGCATTGTGAGTGTGGTGTGTGCATTGTGAGTGTGTGAGCGAGTGGTGTGTGCATTGTGAGTGTGGTGTGTGCATTGTGAGTGTGTGAGCGAGTGGTGTGTGCATTGTGAGTGCGGTGTGGATGATGCGGGTGTGCATTACATGGGGGGGGGGGGGGGGGTGATGTAATGCGGGAGTGAATCTGAAATCGAGTCTGGGCCAAGTTCTCCTTCTCCCTCCCCCAGTCTACCCCCCCCCGAATCCCTCCCACCCGGGCCCCCGGTGCCGCTGTAGTATATATGAACTCACACACGCGACTCGGGCAGCTGCTAGCGGCACAGTCTGCATGCGGCACAGACTCGGATTCAAGAGACTGACACACTGAGACACGGACTCCGAGACACTGACACACACACTCAGAACCACTGACACGCACTTATCGACAGTCTGAGATACGCAGACTCGGACAAGGCTCAAAGAAGGCAGAGACGCAGAGACCGACTGACTTGAAGTGACTCGGATACCGGTACAGAGGGAGTCGGGGACACACTCATCCCGGCAACACACACTAAGACAGATGCACAGGGCCGACTCAGAGACACAGACTCACACACATACCCATCGACTTCGAGTCAAACAAAAACACACACACATAGGCTTACACAGACGTACAC